GAAATCGTTGTTATAATCGTCGAAAAATTTATGTAAAACATATTTGGGTATAAACGTAACGAGAATTTGTCAAATTATTTGTATAAAACATCAAATGAGGATGAAAAGTGATATCACCTTCCATTTATGCATTATGATTCCTGAACATTGCATTGATTAAAAGCGACATCATTGCCGGATCCAGGCGTTAATTTATTCCGTTCTTAATTAGATCCGAGGCGATTCCTCCAGTCCTGCTAGGTCTTCGGACCGGTTAGGTGGCTTTTGTTCCGTATTTTGAATGGTGTTAATTATTTGCATGCGTTTTGACGTCGTTTCTTATGTCGGGTCTCAAATCTACTGCAGTCGTTGTTTTAAATTATTATTAGCAAAATGATGCAAGGTACGTTTTAAATGGTCTAGAATTATTTTCAGAAATATCTTGCGGGTCCAACATTATTTTTACTGATCATGACGGCAACTAATGAAAAACTTGAATATTTCACAGCAGCATAACCGTACTCAAATATCCTCGGAAGTAAATTTTCGATTCGGTCAACCAGCAATTTTTTATACTGGTAGTTTTATGGAACTCAGACCCAAAGTCCTCAGTAGATGATGCTTAATTGTTCATATTCACGCTGCCAGGCGTACCTGATCCGGAAAATTTAATGTTGTGTAGGATCTTCATAATTAATTTTCATTCTGGTGTTGGTTGCTTAAACCTACTTATCCTGTCTTATATGATGTGCTTCATTGTGATGTACCTTAATGCTTTTAGTGCTTAAGTGACGACTTCGTGACTCGCAAGTTGAGCAGCTTCTGTTCGTATGAAATGAAAAAGTATAATGTGAGCCGCACAGATTTAATTAAACTTTATAAAAATTGCTTCTTCAGTCATTCCGTCGACCTTGTTGGCGCTAGTCGAAGATGTCGAGGTGCCATGTCGCAGTCAGTTGATGGTGGAAAGCAAATTTCTATTATGAGATTCTGTCATGAATTTAAAGTTATAATTTTCATTATGGAGCCTCAGAAAAACTTTTTCCTTTTTATTTCCTAAAAGTTACTCCTCTTGGCCAACGTTTTCCACTGTCATCCTTAAGATTCTTCGCTATTACGTCCATCCTCTTTATTTGACCATGGTTAATTACTTTGCCGATCATCGGATTATATCCACGAGACACTAAAATATTTGCTTATCCACATAGCGCTAAAATATTTGCTTATCCACATAGCGCTAAAATATTTGCTTATCGCTAATTCATTTAAAACTTAAGTTCCAATTTAAAACTTTCCTCCAGATGTAACATTGCTAGAAGATCGTCGTGGTAGTTTCGAAAAAGCTAGGTAAGTAACAGATTTGGAACAGCTCTAGCCTCTATGGAACTCTGTATTCTATATCCATGATAATTATTTTTTCGAATTCTAACTTTGAGCGGTTTAGGCGCATTTTAAAAGCCTAACTTGATACTTGTCCAATGTTGTTGATCTTTCGCTTCCAAGACCATGCAAGCTGATAACTGATATTTAAACTTTTGTCCAATTTTGACTATAACTACTAATTGTTTTTGTTGCTTTACAGTCTCTATTAATTTTTTTATAATTTTAATCTATTAACATTTAAACTAAGTTAGCAAGTAGATTCATTGCTCTATCTGGCTGTAATAGATTGGCTTGTCTAAATATCTGCAATGCCTTGCGCCCCACTTGCTGACAATGATGTTGAGCGAACTGCAAGAAGAGGAAGTGCAAATAATAGAGCACCCGCGAGAAATGCAAGAGGAGGAAGAGGTGCCGGTCCAACACACGCGAGAGGAATCCCATGTAGAAGTAGACGATTAACGACGTTAAGTGAAATAAGAATGAGATTAAATGGTGCAACTGTGGCTGGCATTAGGAGAAGTTGGACAAGAAGATTCCTCGCTGAAGAATACTTCAGAAGAAATATAATAATGAACAGAAGAATAAGGCCCGAATCAAGAGGAATGGGAAGAAGGAGACTAGTCCGTGATGAATTCGGTCGTTTAGGTGCGATGGTTTTTGAGACTCAATCGCAAGATAGGACAGACATTCATGTACCCGCACGTCAGAGGCGAGAAAATTATGGACTTTTAAGAGAGAATGGAAATATTGGTAGACCTGCACGACAGAGGGCCGACAGCGCTGCACCAGCACTACAGAAGGGAGGCAGCGCTGTACCAGCACGGCAGCGGGCAGACAGCGCTGCAGCAGCACGACAGAGGGGAGGCAGCGCTGCACCAGCACGGCAGAGGGCCGACAGCGCTGCACCAGCACGACAGAGGGGAGGCAGCGCTGCACCAGCACGGCATAGGGCCGACAGCGCTGCACCAGCACGACAGAGGGGAGGCAGCGCTGCACCAGTACGGCAGAGGGGAGGCAGCGCTGCACCAGCACGGCAGAGGGCCGACAGCGCTGCACCAGCACNGGAGTGGGGGAGCATCTGGGAGTGGGGGAGCATCTGGGAGTGGGGGAGCATCTGGGAGTGGGGGAGCATCTGGGAGTGGGGGAGCATCTGGGAGTGGGGGAGCATCTGGGAGTGGGGGAGCATCTGGGAGTGGGGGAGTATCTGGAAGTGGGGCCTCTGGAGGTAGAGCAAGTGCAAGAGAATCTAGTTGGATAGTAACAAATACAAGCGATTCAACTCGGCGAAACTCTTCTGAAAGTGACACGTCTCAAAGCGAAAAGTCAAGTGGCGAGTTGGCAGACGATAGTGATTCAAGCGGAAAAGGCCCGTTGGGGAATATTCCATGGAAGAGTATTGCTCATAGGAACAGGGAGAAAAGAAGCGAACCTAGAAGTAGTACGCGAAAAACTATTGTAAATTTAGGTGGCGCGTGGAGAAGTGAGGCTGGTAGTACAGCTAATATCCACGGTGCGGATAGTGGTAATACCCATATAGGTGCTACAGCAAGGAGTACTATAGGTACAAAAAGAGGTCACGTAGATTCTTTTGGTGTAGGTGCAAGTAGCTCAGATTCTGGCGGAAAAATTAAAAAAGGTGTTGGAAGAAGCAGGTCGGGCAAAAAGGGTGTGAAGAGTAGTAGTGCTAATCGAGGTGTTGCAGGTAGAAGTAATACGGGTGGGAGAGGTGACTCTGAAAAAGATTCCAGTGGATTGGGTTCATATTTTAGGGATTTTGAGAGAAGTGAAACTTCCAGCAGCTCTAGTGGAATAGACATGGCGGGGGGCGATGAGCGCCGTAAAGTTAAGTGCATAAGAAGAATGAATCCTGTCGAAAATGAATCTTGTAGTCAGGCCGTCGGGACAAGAGATCGAAGCCCGCAACGCCCCAGAGGAGGAGACACGCAACGAACCGCACCGGTCAAAAGAGACTTCGAAGCAATAGCAGAGTCCGAAGGCATCGAAGACGGAACTGGGGACTCTGCTCCAGAGTTATCAGCATGGTATGCATCCGCTTTAAGATTAAGAGCAAGTGGTCTCAGTCGAAGGCAGCAAATTATTCTAAATTTAGGTGGAAGCTTAGAAATGCTGCAGACGCTAAAAGAACAGGCCCATGAACGAGCGCAACAAAGAGCCCAACAACGGGCTCTACTTCGAGCCCAACTACTTCAAGGCGGCGAAGTCGAATTACATCAGGATGCAGTAGAATTACGGGGTCAAAACTTAGAAGAATGGAATCGGGAAGAATGTGTAGAATTGCCAAGAGAGGCCGTAGAATGGTTGAGAGAGGTCTGCGAATCGCAAATAGGGGCAGTACACATGCAGAAAGAGGACTTAGAATTGCAGAGCCCAGCCGAGGAATTGCAGGGTCACGCCGTAGAACTAATAGGTGAAAGTGAAGACGTACGTCGGGGCAGCGCAGAGCTACAGGAAGAAGGCGTAAGGGAGTTCAGACGCGAAGGCATTGATTTTCAAGGTGAAGGCACTGAAACTCTGGAGGGAGATTCTCAATTGGATGCGGAAGTATATGGAATCGCTGGAGAAAACTCCGAATCACGTGTATTATGGAAAAAGGGAGCATTATTTCGTAAAACTGAAATTGAATCTCATGAAAAAGGCATAGAATTGGGGAAAGCTGGTGCACTCCCGGTGACGGAGTTTGAATCGCACGAACAAGGTTGTGAATTACCCACGGCTAGCGGAGCATCGAGGGAAAGACGCATCGAATTACCAGAGGAATTTGTTGAAGTGCAGAGCGACGGAAACGACAAGAAAGAGGAAAGACATGTACTTCAAATGGAAGGCTTTGAACTACCAGATGTTCACATGGTGGAATTGCAGCGAACTTATCAAGGCCTACCTAATCGGGAGGTGCCATCGGCAAACTACCCTACTGTAGGACTGCCCAGCGACGATGAAGAAATGCGCGAAGTTGTGACCCAGCAGATAATGATGGAAGTAGACGAAGAGACAACTGAGGAAGAACTGTAATTTTAAGTACATTATTTTTTATAGTACCAAAATTTATTTTCATTCTCAAAGCTTATTTTTAAACTATATAAATGTCTGTGCCCATCGGTTTTGCCGTTGACCTTATATACATAGATGTTTTATAAAGTTTTGAATTTATTCTTTTTTTTACTCCATCGCTCGATCATGAACGGATTAATATCTTTGAATAATTTGATAACTTTGAATTTTTAAATAAGGACTTTAATTTTATACTAGATGATTGCTGCCTAAATGTATGATGCACTAAAACAATTTGTAAAAGGTTTCCTTGTTAAGAGTCTATAGTAAACGTCTGTAATTTACTTTGTTTCAATGTCCCATAAGAGAAGGATTGCGGCTTCAAAACAATTGATAAAGGTTATAACACAGACGACAATAACTAGTTGTATGGACTTCAATGAATTGAGTTAGGGAAATAACTGTCACTGTGAAATGTTGCGATCTGCAGTACACCTAAGTAACCGCGATGAATAATTTGAATGAATAATAAGAGGCATTTTGCAATCACGCTCCTGCATTTGGATTTTCAATGTTCTAGATCTGCCCGCACTTGATGACCTATTCTGGTCAACTTTATTCAAACTTAATTGAACGAATATTACATACTTTACTGATCATCAATTCGTACAAATTAGCGTTGCATCAACTGGATAAAATTGAATACAAACAAGGCTTTAAGTTCGATGGAAACAGTAAAATTTTGCATCATTTACCGACACTATTTGATTAAGATAAGTACTTGGAATCGCCGATTTTCTGACGAATCTAACTAAACTAACAAAACTATAAAACAATATAACTGAAGACACAATAATACAATAAAATTATAAATTATTTGCAGCAACAAGGGGGTTTTGTCATTGTAGAGGTATCTCTTGTGATCGTACCTCCGTCGTCGGTGTCGAAGTATCAGACTCGTAATAATCAGATGTCTTCATTTACTCTTAAAGTCCTCTAACCGTACTATCAAAACTCGCTTCAGTACATTTATGGTTAAAAGTACCGGTAATGTTATCAATTTCTCGTCTGTGATAAGTAGGTTTATGTTGAAAAGCAGTCCATGATTGACCGACGGAGCTACGAACTCGAATTTTTGACAGTATGGCCCGTGAGTATGAAGTCCTCCGATCACTGCGGTCGATGTTGGCTCGATTCGTTAGCGTGTCGAGTAAATAGAGCAACCAAACACGTCCGCCGCGGCCGGTCTTCCGTCGGCATTTGTATGGATGTCAGCTGGCCTGCTGACTCTGTGTAGGCCACCTGACGCAGCCCAGCTGCTGACACCGCTGACAGAGTAGCCCGGTACCGCTGACCAGCAAAACGATATCTTTAGACATTTCATTGTGATTAAGTGTCAGCAGTATATCACGCTCTATTTTAAAGCAAGGCCCATGCCTAAAAGAGATTAGTGATATTGAATGTTTCGATATTGATTGAGAGCTTTGCGCAGAAAGACATCAATGAAATTTACCCAATAAATTGAAGGAAACCAAGAGCTCCAAAAACTGGATACAATTATTAGAAAATTATAATCAATAAATGGGAACTTGCCCATGAATTGAGGAGTTCACGTACCTGCAGGAGGGCGAACCAGTGGTCGTAAGGCAAGGTCTTCAGGTGCCAGGTGTGCAGTGTGACGGTGAGCTGCTGGACGCGCTCCAGCAAACCCAGCGCAGACAGCCGCTCCAGCGCCTGAGGGTTAGTAATATTTTATGCCATAAAGCCGAATATTTATTATACATATTTTTATTTCTTAAGTTAAAATATATGAAGTAAGCGTCAATAAATAGTTAGTTTTGAAAGTTAATAATCGGATAAATTTCCCGAATGATATCAACGGAATGAGAGGTCGTTAACCCTACCCTCGTCTCCCACTCAGCCCCGTAACCCTCACCTCCCACTCAGCCCCGTAACCCCTTACCTCCCACTCAGCCCCGTAACCCCTCACCTCCCACTCAGCTCCATGCAAGTCCAGCTTGAGGACGTGAACCAAGGGGTGGAGGGACTTGTACGCCTCTAGGATTAGGCCCACGACCTCCCAGTCCACGTTGGAGTGGCCGTGCCGAGGTTTGAAGTCCGCAGACATGTTCATCAAGCCCACAGGGTGATGAAAGTCGCCACCCTCAAGGTAAATCTGGCGAAACAGATTGCAATGTAAGGAAATTCTGAAACAATAATTTTGAAAATATGTTTAAAGCAGCTCATACACAAGCATGAGTTATCGCCTGCTAAGAACCTCCAATTTGTTCCACTCAATTTTGTCCATTTTATGAACATTATCTATCATCTTGGAGGTGATGCTGTTCGTTATACATGCGAGAGGAACGTAAATGCAATGCAAGATGAAGTAGAAAGTGTGCTCGGTATTCGAATCTGGAAACAATGTCTTAATAATGTATCCTAATACGTGAATCTTTCAAGATTCTGGATTGCGGTGATTGACTGCCAACAGAGTTACGTCTTTCTTAAACATTCTCGTTGTCTCAATGGAAAGTAAAAAATTTGTACCCAAGTTTTTTCAAGTGTCTTCAAGATTCCACTGATTGAAATTCGTGTGTAAGATAACACCGGGAACCAGTGCAATTGAGAACTAAAATATTTCAAAATTTAAGAATAATTCGTAGGAACATTTCTACAGTATGACTGTACCCACAGGTATCGGGGACGAAGCCTGACTCGTGGGATCGAACATGTGAATGCTGCAGTTTCGCGCTGCCCAGACGCTCTCCTCGAAGGTCAGGTTAACGTCTTGTCCGAAACTGTAAACCACGCACAGCGTGTGTGGTGGCATTACCGCTTGCTCCATGCACAGCTGTGATTTGAATCCTCACTTATTCAACATCAAATATTTAATTTAAATAACATATAATTTCGGTCCAACCTTCTGCAGTATTTTTCACTAAATACATATGTGTAACTCATCCACCGCATGCTTTTATCAACAGACCGCTAAAGAGGCTTAAACAAGTTTCGTTATCAGCAAGACAACGAAAACGAAGTCATTTCCCCAGACTTAAGAAATGAACTGTTATCTATCAGCAATCGGTTCTTTCTATTCCTTTTATCTTCACACCTCGAGCTGAGGAATGCCGTGCGTCCTGCAGGAGTTGCCCCCTAGCCTCACACGCCTCCTGCAGACGGCGCTGTAGCTGCGCAGCTCGTCGTAGAACTGACCGGCCGCGGTCAGGCTGCCGTTAGAGGCTGGGTAGGGTCGGGTCGATTGCCTGGTAGTTCATTTAATCGTTTATTTATTCAAGTTCATTTCATTTATTAATTGTCTCGCTAGATGATCAATGTACTGATTCTATATAATCGTGTTCATATCTAAATTATAGATAAGTTTAGCGGTATCTATCAAAACCGACTTTTTTCAAGCAAGTGTCATAATATAGTTAGAGATGCAAGGTTAAATTTATTCCCTGATGTAATGCATATTAAAGCCATTATTTTGTTAGTCACAGTTAATGGAGCCGAAGGGGTTTTTTCAGTTTTATATATGCAAGCATACAAATTTGTATATTTGTATATTTTGTACAAATAACTTGAGTGACACTCACATGTGTTCGTCAAGAACCACACTGTAATGATGGCCGGCATCATCGATGATAAGATTCATCATAGCTATGACCGTCATCACTGCCGCTGTGATGATCAACGACAATTTCAACACTCGGGTTTGTGAAGCGCCATCCATTGAAACTAAGTGCGATTTAAATATGTATTATGTACTTGAATGGCCACTTCTGAGATGGCACGATTCCGTCATCTTATGTGCAAACTTCCATTTTTGCAACAATATCTTAAATTAAAACTGTGTCATTGATCTCCTCACTCACAACCGCTCTGAGGTTTTCAATCTAACCACTGGTCAATTAAGCAAGATAACCTCCCGTATGCGGCAGCAACAATTGTGGGGATGCTGACCGTATATATAACACTGTTTGCTGTAACCCTTCGGTCGCAACGTCAGACTCGCAGTAACTGAGAGTCCATAAGGAAAACTTGACAATATTCCATTGCACGCGGCATCCGCGAATGTCTTCCTCTTCATCAAAAATGTATCTAAGAGCTCCATTGACAGGATGTAGAGATGAAAAAAATTTTCCTGCCGTGGCATATTCGTTCTAAACTGAATGTTAAAGCTACCAATAACCCACTCCAGCATTTTAATAAGCCTCTGTCAAAAATTCAACGCATAGATCATTATTTGCGTTAATTGTAATGTGCTAGCACTCATTTGAAAACTACAAACAATGTGCGTTCAAGAAAGCAAATATCATGGATGTACATGGAATGTTTTTTTTTTGCGTTAGGCCGTTTTAAACTTGTGTAAAATGAATATTTATACATATAAATAAATATAAAAAGCCCCATTTATATCTTATTAATCACGTTAAACTGGACAAGAATAAGTCTAAAGACGCGTGCTGGTACCCTAAATGTAAATAATTGGCAATGAGAAAGCTTGGGCTTACAATATCAATAATATTTTGGGATGTTCTTTTTTTCAATAAATTTTACTTTATTAGGCTCCCTTGAACATTTAAAATATCAGAATACGCCATCGTAAAAACTTTATTACTCATACGTAGTATTCAAGCTACAGCAATGAAAGACATATCATTCAATTTGTAAAGAACATACCTAGCGACTCTGGGAGCCCATTTGAGCGCATTTTCTCATTTATGGAAGAAAGGCGCTATTGTGCTCGTCATGTCCGTCCGTCCGTTTGTCCGTGACCTCACGTTTTCGTCGATTTTGAGAAAATGCGCTTTTTGTCACTGACTGCAGCGAGTACTGAGATATATTTTTTTGGATTTGTGCATTGTTTGACATATATGGAGAGGTGGAGGGGGGGGGGGGAAATGGAAAATCGCCCATATATGAAAAACGACGAGGAAAATCAAAAATAGGGGCTCCAGAGCCGCTAGATAATTTTGTTACGAATCGAATGAAATGCGTCTCGATATTGTAGCATGCGATTTGCAAATCGCATAAGAAATAAACTTGTTGGAGTACCCCCTTTTTTGCCATTTTCTATTACTTTCACGTTTTCTTTCATTTTTTTCAAAAATTCATGCGTACAAATTATTTTTTATTTTACATTTAACGTATGTGTGTGGAATTTCAGAAATATCGGTTAATAAATGTAGAAGTTTTAAAGGGACCCGAACGGTCCCCTTAAAAGCATTCTCGCTCACAAGCAAACAGTTTTGCAACCAGCCTGCTTCTACTCCGGCCTAACCGATTCTGGCCTAACCTACTCCCGTTAAACTCCTTCTTAAACCAGCTTGAATGGAGCTACCTAACCTCATTGGCTGCTGTATGGCAAAGAGGCGGGGCAAGTGAGCAGACGAGGCTGCTCATTGGTTGTAAGAGAATGGAGAGGTAAGGAAACTTGAGTAGGTTAGGCCAGAAGAGGCTAGGCCGGCTGCAGAACTGCCTCCTTATGAGAGAGCATGCTTAGATAATGGCTGAAGACTTACGGAGCCATTGCTTTAAACTGTGCATTATAATCTAGATTACGGTGTTCGTAGTCTGCCAATTTTGGCTCTGAAACTGAGTGTAGTTATTGCATGGTGAGGATGGACGTTTGCTCTGGGGCTAATTAAATGAATAAATCTAAGGCCTACCGCTGCGCCTCCGGTTCGGGCCTCGCCATCGCATTCAGGTCACTGCTTCACTTTCAGGATTAAGCGAATATTTCAGAATCAAAAACAAATCCTGACAAAGTTGCGTGGACTTGGATCTCAAAATTGCCTTTTAATGGAGAATAATTACATCAGTCATGCATGGCATATGACTGCGCAGTTGTTGAACAAATGTCGACAAATATTGGTAGAAAAATGGTGTCCAGGGTAGAACTGCACTCGGCAGGCTATTGGTGGAGCATATAGGCAGAACATGCCACCACTGCTTCGGCGATGTGGCAGCATATTACCACATAGGTGTGTGCCTGGCACCTAACCACCTATGGTCTACCTTTAATCTCCGTCTATTGTCAATAAAACATCGCTTCTGCTCCAATAATATTTATTTAACTAGGCGGGTTCTCATCTTTTGGTTTCTGATTCAAAACTGTAATGGGCTTGGCATGCAGGGTTCCGTTGCGCTCGGTTCGTGATGCAGCGCTGCAGGGAACCACTGTCGAACCAGTGCAGCGAACCGCCTTATTTAGGGCGGGGGGGCTTCGATCTGTAAATGCACCAAGAAATCAGTAATAATAATGTGACCAGCTTGGGACATCAAAACTGTACAACGAATGAGTACATTTGTAATCAGGTACTATTACATTGGAAGACCATTAACACAGGTATTCGTGATGAATAAAATACGGAAAAACTAAGGTGTTTACAGGAATCGCCGAATCATGAGGATAACTTGGTTACTTCTTGGGTTAGAAAGTTTTGAACTTGTTGTCGGAAAGACTAGACATTAAATGTGTTGTCAGGAGGACTGGACGTTAACATGTGTTGTCATGAGGACTGGACGTTAACATGTGCTGTCAGGAGTAGGACGTTAACATGAGTTGTCAAGAGGACTGGACTTTAGCATGTGATGTCAGGAGTAGGACGTTAACATGAGTTGTCAGGAGGACTGGACTTTGACCCCAAGAAAAAACCCAAAGCACCAAAACTCAACCTACTTATGCGCATTGCGCCTATTTCGTCTTCTACTGTTACTTCCTTTTCTCCTTCATCTTTCTGATCACTCTGTGCCACCTCTTGTGGTTTCTCCAATTTTCCTAGTGGCACCGCACCACCATCAGGCAGTCGTAGGCAAGCCTTGCCATCATGTAGTCATAACCAATTTAGCATCCCCTGGACGTCGCCTGACTCCCGCGTTCTCCTGATCGTCGTTAGTAATCTCCGATACTAAACTACCTTGTGTAACTTGCCACCCAGCTTCATCCTGTATCCTATCTAGTTCTTAATATACTTTAAGACAACCGCCTCTCAATCATCCTGCCTCTATTCGGACTTTAACTAAGAACCCTTGGACCCTCAACTCAAGCAATCTTCAGAAGATGTTCCGGTGATTAAACAACGATAGAACATTAATATAATTAAATAGAACTTGTATTATGAATCATTGGGCACGTCAGGCCAATGCTCCGACATATTCCTTTCCGTGGGTAAGCATGATGCACTCACGAAATAAGTGGTTCACGTTGTCCAAATAGTGACGTAGTTTCTGCACGTATCACTGATACGTTCTTTTCTAATCACACTATCGTGAAAAGGACATCGCTACTTGGATAAAATCTTACTTATTTTTTTCCGAGTAGAGGGCAAAGTACCCTGGCAAATTTAGTGCTTGCAGCAATAGAGTAAGTAAGTACGCAGCCAACACTCAAGCATGCTCGCTCACAAGACAACAGTTTTGCAACCAGCCTCCTCCTACTCCGACCTAACTGCTTCTGGCCTAACCTACTCACGTTACACTCCTTCTAAAACCAACCCGAACGGACCTAATTAACCTCATTGGCTACTGTATGGCAAAGAGGCGGGGCAAGTGAGCAGACGAGGCCGCTCATTGGCTGTAAGAGAATGGAGAGGCAAGGTAATTTGAGTAGGTTAAGCCAGATGGGACTAGACCGGCTGTAGAAAGTAGAAGCTGTCTGCTTATGAGCGAGCATGCGTAAATATTGATTGAAGCTGTAGATAATGCACATAGGTCTAAATATTGGCTTTAAACCGTGCATTAAAATCTGGATTACGGTGTTCTTAGTCTGTCTTAGTCTGTTTCTGCGTGGGCTTGGTTCTCAAAATTTCCTTTTAATGGTGGATAATTACAACTGTCACCCATGGCACATGACTGCGCAGTTGTTAAAAAATTTTGCAAATATTGGTAGAAAAATGGTGTCCAGGGTAGAGTTGTTCTCGGCAGGATATTGGAGGAGCATAGGCAGGACGTACCACCGCTGCTTCGGCGAGGTGGCAGCATATATTACCACATAGGTGTGGGCATGACACCGAACCACCTATGGACAACTTTTTTAATCTCCGGCTATAAATGTCAATAAAACATCGCTTCTTCACCAATAATATTTATTCAACCCGACTGGTTCACTTCTGCCTACGGTTCCTGATTTGAAACTGTAGTGGGCATGGCATGCAGGGTTCCATTGGGAGCGGTTCGTGATGCACCACTGTAGGGAACCATTGTCGAACCAGTTCAGTGAACCGCCTTATACAGGTAGAGTTACCTGTAAACGCACCAATAAATCAACAATCATAATGTGACCAACTTCAACTTGGGACATCAAAACTGTATTACGAATGAATACATTTGTATCCAGGTACTATTGCATTGGAAGACCAAGAACACAGGTATTTGTGATGAGAAAGATGCGAAAATAACTAAGGTGTTCACAGGAATCGCCAAATCATGAGAAAAACTTGATTACTTCTCGGGTTTGAATGTTTTGAACGTGTTGTAGGAAAGACTGGACGTTAACATGTGTTGTCAGGAGGACTGGACGTTAGCATGTGTTGTCAGGAGGACTGGACGTTAACATGTGTTGTCAGGAGTAGGACGTTAACATGTGTTGTCAGGAGGACTGGACGTTAACATGTGTTGTCAGGAGGACTGGAAGTTAACTTGTGTTGTAGGAAAGACTGGACGTTAACATGTGTTGTCAGGAGGACTGGACGTTAACATGTGTTGTCAGGAGGACTGGACGTTAACATGTGTTGTCAGGAGGACTGGACGTTAACCTGTGTTGTCAGGAGGACTGGACGTTAACATTTGTTATCAGATGGGCTATCCGCTAACCTATATTGTCGGAAATAAGGTAGGGGGAAATAATTTATAACAGTAGAGTGACAATAGGCTCATCACTAAATCTGCTGTCCGTCGCTAAGAGGAAACCTCCATTTAGCCACCAACAATGTCAAATGAATGTGTTCTCCAAAGAAGGCTGCGATTGATCAACCTGCCCCAGATCTATCTCTCTATCTAACTTCATTGTACATTTCATTTATCCCTATTCCTTACTGTTACTTGATTTTTGAGCAAGGAAACTGACATGCCTTTTGGACTCGTTGAACTTACGTTGAATTTTGCCAGAGTTAGTATAAATTCATGTTGGATCAAAAAAACCACCACAGTCATCTCTGCTGGTGGCTCTAGCCAAGTAAGCAAGCCCGTCCATGTAAGGCTGCCATCAGATATTGACGCCGGGTAAAAGTTGCCAGAGTTCTCGATATCCATTTCTGTACCGGTGAGGACGCCACAGATGTCGTAAGGTGTCAGGTCAGTAGGCCAGTGGAAGACGACATCGTTCAACTTTATTTCGTAGGTCCACAGGCTTGTATTTCTTAGTCCTTTGAGAGGTACTGTGAAAGAATGAAATCCTTTATAAAAGTCTGTTGAAGGAATAATATGAGTTATAAGTAAGTTATAACTAAATTGCAGTTTTGATACCCAGACCGCTAGCTCCACTTAGTGATAAATGTTGTACGAATACGAGCCAAATTTTGCACGCAATGTGGTATATGTTTGTATAAATCGTCTGCCTAACACTGTAACTAACATAATTCGTACCTAATATTGTACCGAAAATGCTTGGTATTATACTAGTCTACGGATGTGAAATATAGTAATATCCAGAGTTCACATTTTCAGCCTTCCAATTTTAGTTAGGTTATCATAACAGAATTGTAATTAATGATGAATGTTGTATAGTTGGACCAATGTTAATGCTCTAATTTAGGGTTCTTACAATCGAACTCCTTGGAAGCCGTCTTATTTCCGCTGTCCATCGCCTGAGTGTACGTGATATTGAGCGAAGAAGTCAGGCAAATATCAGTCACATTCCCGGTTCCGATCTCGATGGTGCCTTTTGGTTTAGATATGAGGAAGACAAGCTTCGGTTTGGGCTGCGTGGGGTTCGTGTATTTGATGCCGTTGATGCCAAACTCAATGGTGAACTCGGTGAAGCTACCGCAGCCAGGGGAAGCCTGTAGGATCAGTGGTGGCTGAGTTAGAGAAGGTGGTGGTAAAAAGTTGGTGTGGACAGTGGGTGTGGACAGTGGGTGTGGGCAGTGGGTGTGGACAGTGGGTGTGGACAGTGGGCGTGGACAGTGGGCGTGGACAGTGGGTGTGGACAGTTGGTGTGGACAGTTGGTTAGCTCAACAATTTCACTTCCACAAAATTTTCAATTTTGGTTTCAATTACCAGTCAGTTGAATTATTAATATCTAAACTCGATCCAACGCTGTTGTTGACTTTCCATCAGCCACTATTCAGCATTCACGCACAGTTTTTACTACACAAATGACATTTAATGGCCAATGGCAACCAAATTGGTCGAGTTAAAAGTGATTGTACACAGAGACAGTAGTGGCGGCCAGTACAACAGAGGGAGCAGTGGCGGCCAGTACGACTTTCAAATACTAACCGCCACTATTTATCGTGCTGTTGGCCTCGTGTATAGACGCTACGGGCAGCGGAAACGCCCAGTGACATTTTAATCATGGCTAGTAATCCTAAAAGTTGTGCTGGACGCCACTATTGTCCCCGTGTTGTACTGGCCGCCACTATTGTCCCCGTTTTATTCTGACCGCCACTATTGTCCCCGTGTTGTACTGGCCGCCACTATATACTGTCCCAGTGTGAAAGCACTTTTAAGGTTGTAGGTAAGCTTTTGAATCTGAGGCTTTTGCTTTGGTTAGGTTAGGTTATTCATATGATTATGAATAATATATGCGGAAAGAACAAAATAATTTAACGAATATGTAAATAAAGATATATTTACAGCCTTACATCGTAAGTTATTATGACTGTTTTGTTCGGGAATAAGTTGGCTTCCATTGTGAATCCCGGCACCACATTGAACGGCCAGCTGTCTTGAGGCTCTGCTCAATAGAAGACAACTTAGTGGTAATATTGGCCTTGTGTGGGTCATCCTGACCCAGGGTATCAGTGCAACGGGCAGAAAGTGGGACAGTGTTAAAACACTATTATGTCATATAATTATTAAGTATCAAAACACAATTATATTCCTAATACTTGACCCATTCATATTTCTAAGCTTCATTTCCTGGGTACATATGAGATGAGATTTAATCAAATCAGATGGAAATATTACGGAGAAATAAGTCGCTTTATATGAAAAAAATTTTACGCTCACATGTCGACCTAAATCGCCTCGTGTTCATCCAAAATGAATCTTCCACAAATTACATAGTTCGAATTGGAGCAAAATTGTTCGGACCAGAACTACATAGTCCGAATCAGAGCAACATAGTCCGAACCAAAACTACATAGCCCGAATTAGAACAACATAGTTCGAACAAAAACTACATAGTCTGAATCAGAGCAACATAGTGCAAAACAAAGCTACATAGTACCCAATTTCCCTTATTCGTTGGTAGTAGATTGAGTAGAACTATCATCATTTGTGTTACCTGGCTTAGTAGTCGCCACAGTCTGGGCAGTGGTACCGAACTTCTCTCCGGTGGGGAGACCGAAGGAAATGATGACGTCTGTGCTGCTGCACCCTGGGACGTTCTCAATCAACGTCTGGGGCGAAGTGGTTTCGATGTACTTCTCCTGGCCGGAGAAGCTGACGATGAAGCCGGGGTAGTTGCAGCCACCATCGTTAGAAGTCCACGTCACGTCGAAGTTGTTATTCGTATTCGCCGTCCGGGTCGCAACCACCGTCAACACTTTGAAATTTCCTGTTGAAGATTGGAAGAAACGCGTTAATTGAAAAGAGTCCCTTCATACCTTATCTTAATTAACTAGAAAAAATAGGATTTTATACATTGTTATCCAGTATTTGAAATTTAGGTTAGAGTGGTTGCAGCAATGAACCGCACCCACGTCACTGGACTGGACCAATGGTGGGCAAGGTGACTTGCGAGAGTTTGCAAAAAGACCTGTCTGCAATATATGACTGCGAACAAAATGCAAAATTCACCCTCAATTTGGTGTAGCGGAAGAGTCGAGATAGAATACAACTACTTGGCCCCGGATGGCACAGAAATTGGGGAGAAGCAATTTTTTCACGACTGCGCAGTGACGAAGAGTACTAATGTCACATTTGGTGACGTGTAGGAGCAAAAACTGCAAGAAGCAGGCAAAAAGTAATGTGGATCTTGTGGACGTTCAGAACAGGAGAAACGGAACTGGTGATCACGTTTTTCACAGCAAATGTGATCCTTCTCCTCGAGTACTGCTGTCAGCTGTGGTTCACGGTTTGTGCAGTGTGGCCATTAGAAGCGATTTAGTGAATCTTCATGCGAAGGAACGAAATCTTCGTGATGCAATATATCACAATGAGAGAAGACACTGTAAAACTCTAAATCCGACAAAATTCTTGGTTTCTGAGCTCAGTTTGCGGAAGCAATCCATTTCCATAGCGGGACCAAGGTTGTTTTACGTCTTGACTGTGAAGATAACAAGAGCGGGAGTTGTTCGCTCTGGAGGCCGTCAAAAGACTAAACTTGTCACTGGCACAATCAATGATCACACGGGGTTGGCCAGAAAAAAAAGACAACGTGCCAGCGAGGCTTGCGACTACAATGTTCAGAACCCCTCTCGCACAGGAACATGAATTCATCCCACCCACCGTAACTGGTCTGAATCACAGGTGGATTTCACTATTTCATCGCACCCACCGAAATTTGGCTTGACCAGAGGTGGGTTGGCCTGGTAGATGGCTATGTAGTTTGCCTCTGCCGCCTTCTGGTCAGCACATGCATGACTCGGTACGGTTGCGTTGTAGGTGAGGCAGGTGGTACCATTGAAGTACAGGGTGGAGTGTCCTGCAAACGTTGCGACGGTTAGTAAAGATGTTGTTCCATAGAAGCATTGGTCAATTATTATTGCAATCCAGTAATACTTGGTAAATGGCAGCTTTTGCAGCGGTAATCAACAGCGGTAACCAACTCACCGGCCACGGCGGCAGCGTTGACGCAGTCCCTGAAGGTGGGCGCGCTCGGCTGGGAGCTTCCGAAGCATTTCAATATCGCCGGTTGAGTGTATGCGCGGCTATACACGATCCCGTTCTTAGACATGATGGATCGGAACACGACCGATCTTTTGGTTTTCTTGCAAGATGTCATGGGGCTTTTGGGGGTCACAAGCACCTGTAATCATTAAAATTATGAATATGTACCAGAATATTGATGTTGGTGACAAGACACAGTTGAAATGGTTACTTGCCAAAAAACTTGTGAGGGCACAGTAAAGCCTATTATTCAAGTATGGAAATGATAGCTTAAATGTTCATAAAATCCCAACGCGAACATAAGTTCAAAAATCTCAGTTTAATTAGACGCGTGTGATGGTTATTTCAACTCACATCAACAGCAGGGCCTGGAGGCAGGTTCGCCTGTGGGCAGGGAAAGGGTAATACCAGCATTAGCTATCACAGATAAATAAGTAACTCATGATTTGTATACCTGACATTTCACAAGCAGTTTGTTGCATGTAGGTTAGTTTTGTACCCTAGCAGTATAAAAACGTGTTATGTTAACCAAACAAGGATCTAATAAAATTATTACTCATAATTTCACAAAAGTATTAACGCTGTGAAATTAATTAATTAAACGCTATGAAACGCTATGAAATTAAACGCTATAATTAATATTAATTAAACGCTATGAAACCAGTGTTGCAATTTCAAATAAGTCCAGCAGCTATCTCAATCAATCGTCAGCTATGGAAAGATCGGGTTCCAAAGGCCGGATCCCTCGTGAATCAAGTCACGAAAAATTCAAGAATCGGCAACAGGCCATGGGCCTATTTCTTCAGTGCCGACACTTCTATTCTATTCTATAATGACCTGGGCTTCATGGAGCACCGTGGTCAAAATTCCGGCGAGAATCAGGGGAAGGAGTTTGGCCATCTTGACCTTCCCGACCTGGGGAGACACGAGACTATGATTATTATTTAAGATATTAGAAGGATTATAATTAACGATACTTGAAATTATTAGTAGTATTGAAAGAGAGCTTATCTGCACAGTTTTGTAGAATTTTCGATTCTAAGAGTTATTTACTGAGCTTTTTAGAGGCTCTCAGGGGAATGCTTCAATTGGACGCATGATATCTTCCCCATCATCTTTGAAATTCTATGAAAGTTTTAAATTAGTTCTAAGGACAATAAGACTTCATTTGTGAAGAAAAAAAAACGAAGCCATTTTATTACTCGTTCTCGTAAAAATTTTAGCACAAGTGCCCACAAATCACATCACCATTTTAGCACTCTATTGGCTGATCAGAGATATTGCATTTGTCCGTGCATCTCTTAAACTCTGTAGGATATGTTGCGTGGTATACCAGCTGTGGTATAATGCGTGGTATAGCAGCTATCCTTAGTATCCTTAGTATTTGTTTGGGACATAGCAGTCCCAGGCCACGATGGATCGCCGCCTCTGGTTATCGTTCATCCGCCCTCATTTGGGCCACCTGATGCACGATGCTGTTGCTCGCTTCTCGCCGCTGGTAGTGTTGCAGGGGAGGTCGATCTGGGACTGTGCCCAGGAACACGTCTAGTTGTCTCTTGAAGGTCTCCAGGGTGAACTCCCCCTCTCTTATATCCCTTGGTAGGGCCTTGAACAGCCTTGGCCCTGCCACGGATTATACCAGCTGTGGTATAATGCGTGGTATATCAGCTGTGGTATAATGCGTGGTATACCAGCTGTGGTACAATGCGTGGTATACCAGCTGTGGTATAATGTGTGGTATATCAGCTGTGGTATAATGCGTGGTATACCAGCTGTGGTATAATGCGTGGTATACCAGCTGTGGTATAATGCGTGGTATACCAGCTGTGGTATAATGCGTGATTCATTGTTAGTAATATGAAACTAGTAAATTGAAATTTGTTTAGTAATTTATATTTATTAATTAATTTTTATGACGTTGAATACATTTCATTCTATAAACTTTCTTGGATTTGTTTTAAGATGGTTACGAATGTTGATTATATTATTGTTATTATTATTAACATTATTATTATTACTATTATTATATTATTATTATCGTTATCATTATTATTAATATTACTATTATTACTATAACTAATATATTTTCAATCCTATTATTATTATTAATATCATTCTTTACAATACTAAAATCCAAATAATTTAAATTATTATCTGACTTATTATTTTCGCGAATCCGAAATCAAAATACCGCATGCAATTTCAAATTCTTTATAAAATTCGTGCGTATGAAACCAACTAAAATATCTCGTACGAAATGAATTCACATAAACTTTTACTGAATGATGATTTTTTATCATTAAAACACATATATTTTACATATTGACATATTGATGATTTTTTATCATTAATTACCAGATATTAAAGACTAATTTGAGTTATTGACAAAAAATGCAAGATACGTAGTTACATATTGAAGATACTTGAATTATTTTCAATAATATTCGTGTACAAGTGGTAAACGCCATATAATAATAATAATAATTATAATAATTATAATAAAAATAATGCAACGATGTGTTCAAAATCGTAGTCAAAAATTCATTCATCATTCCAGGGTAGTGGGAAATTTGAAAAAAAGTGAAAACATAGCGAATAAATAAATAAATGAACTATTTTCCACAAATTAATATTGGTACACTTAGAGGTCACAATGGGTAGAAGTAATCATTAAGGTCTATATCTATGTCTAGCTATATCTATATGTCTATATCTATATGTCCATAAATGTCTATGATCTATAGAATATATGTTCGAAGTTTCAGAGCTTTATCTCATCATCTTCACCGTTAAGGGACCATACGAGAATATAGAAAACAGAATTAAAGCAAATATTACAGAATTATTCCTAGATAAAATTTTATTAGCTGAGGCTTGCATTACGTAAAGGTCACTCTAAATATGCAACCCTCTTCAAAAATGCAACCCTCTAAAGAATACAACCCTCCCCATAAATGCAACCCTCTCAAAAAATGCAACCCTCTTTAAAAATTCAATCCTCAAAAATGCAACCCTCATCAAAAATACAACCCTCTCCAAAAATGCAACACTCATCAAAATACAACCCTCTCCAAAAAATGAGACCCTCATCAATAATAGAATCCTCTCCAAAAATGCAACCCTCATCAAAAAAACAACCCTCTAAAAAATAAAACCCTCATCAAAAATACAACCCTCTTGAAAATTCAAAAATGCAACCTTCTCAAAAAATACAACCATCTTCAAAAATGCAACCCTCTAAAGAAAACAGCCCTCTCCATAAATGCAACCCTTTCAATAAATACAACCCTCTCCAAAAATGCAAACCCTCTCAAAATATACAACCATCTTTAAAAATGAAACCCTCTATAATAATACAACCCTCTCCAAAAATGCAGCTATCACAAAAAATACAACCCTCTTCAAAAATGCAATCCTCTCAAAAAATGCAACCCTCTCCGAAAATGCAACGCACTCAAAAAATACAATCCTCTCAAAAATACAAACCTCTCAAAAATACAACCCTTTCAAAATACAACACTCTCAAAAAATGCAACCCTCTTCAAAAATTCAATCCTCAAAAATGCAACCCTCATCAAAAATACAACCCTCTTCAAAAATGCAACCCTCTCAAAAAATACAACTCTCTCCAAAAATGAAACGCTCTCAAAAAATACAACCCTCTTCAAAAATGCAACCCAGTCAAAAAATACAACCCTATCATAAAATACAACCCTCTTCAATAATGCAACTCTCTCGAAAAAAATACAACCCTCTTAAAAATGCAACCCTCTCAATAAATACAACTCTCTTCAAAAATGCAACCCTCTCAAAAAATACAACCCTCTTCATATATACAACCCTCTCCAAAAATGCAACCCTCTCAAAAAATGCAACCCTCTTCAAAAATTCGATCCTCAAAAATTCAACCCTCATCAAAAATACAACCCTCTTCAAACATGCAACCCTCTCAAAATATACAACCCTCTCCAAAAATGCATCCCTCAACATATATACAACCATCTCCAAAAATGCAACCCTCATCATAAATACAACCCTCTTCAAAAATCCAAAAATGCAACCTTCTCAAAAAATACAACCATATTCAAAAATGCAACCCTCTAAAGAATACAGCCCTCTCCATAAATGCAACCCTCTCAATAAATACAACCCTCTCCATAAATGCAAACCCTCTCAAAATATACAACCATCTTCAAAAATGCAACCCTCTCAAATAATACAACCCTCTCCAAAAATGCAGCTATCACAAAAAATACATCCCTCTTCAAAAATGCAACCCTCTAAAAAATACAACCCTCTCCAAAAATGCAACGCACTCAAAAAATACAACCCTCTTCAAAAATGCAACCCTCATCAAAAATACAACCCTCTCCAAAAATGCAACCCTCATCAAAAATACAACCCTCTCAAAAAATAAAACCCTCATCAAAAATACATTCCTCTTCAAAAATCCAAAAATGCAACCTTCTCAAAAATGCAACCATCTTCAAAAGTGCAACCCTCTAAAGAATACAACCCTCTCAATAAATGCAACTCTCTCAAAAAATACAACCCTCTTCAAAAATGCAACCCCCTTAAAAAATACAACCCTCTCCAAAAATGACACTCTCACCAAAAATACAAACCTCTTCAAAAATGCCACCCTCTCAAAAAATACAACCCTCTCCAAAAATGCAAACCCTCTTAAAAAATACAACCATCTTCAAAAATGCAATCCTCTCAAATAATAGAACCCTCTCCAAAAATGCAGCTCTCACAAAAATACAACCCTCTTCAAAAATGCAACCCTATCAAAAAATACAACCCTCTCCAAAAATGCAACGCACTCAAAAATACAACCCTCTCAAAAATACAACCCTCGCCAAAAATGCAACCCACTCAGTACAGTAGCGCGAACATGAGCGGCGAACAGGAGTAGCAAACAGGAGCAGCGGACAGGAACGGCGGACAGGAGCGACGAACATGAGCGGCTAACATGCTCTACGAACATGAGCGGTGAACGCTCACTCTTATTCTACTCACGTTAAAAGTGGTAAAAAAATATGAATTAATTGTTTGATCTTTAAAAAAACTTACTTTTTTCCCCGAAGATATTTACGATGTCTGCGTTTTGTTAAAGTTTATTAGAACTCCAGGGAACGCTAAGTTAAGGCACTCAGGGAACGCTAAGCTAACACCAGACAACGTTACACCGCCACGTCCACCGCACAAGTGAAGAGCGGCGCCCCGCGGGGTGGCTATATCCACCCGCTATGGAGAGGCCCCACTAGCCCCTCCCCCCGCATGTGTTGTGGGAAACTGCGTTGTTTCCGTGACACGTGGATCAATGTTCTTAGTTTAGTCTATTTATTAATAAAAGTTATTAATTATATTACTCATTAAGTTTATAGAAGTCGAAAATACAATTAATTGAACCACTAATTTTAATTATAGGGGATGTATGTAATTTAAATCGTGGAGGGGAATTTAATTCGAAGGTTAATCTAGTTTAATAATAGGAGGTTCATTTAAGTCTCGAAAGTAATTTAAAATAAGTCTACGAGGTAAATTTTACTGAATTTAATTTAATTATGAAAGGTTAAGTTATTGAAATTTCAAGAGATAAATTCACTTCCCATCTAGAAATATAATTTCATTCAAATTTAGGAGGTTAATTCGTTACTAAGACTTCAATTTGCTTAAGTCAAGGATATAAATTCATTTATTTCTAGGCAGGTTATTTTATTAGTCTTTAGAAGGATACTTAAAAGAAATTTTGTGAAATTAATTTAATTTAACACTAGAATGATAATCTATTAACACATATTATTATTATTATTATTATTATTATTATTATTATTATTATTATTATTGTTATTANGACAGTGGGTGCGGACAGTGGGTGTGGACAGTTGGTGAGCTCAACAGTTTCACTTCCACAAAATTTTAAATTTTGGTTTAAATTACCAGTCAGTTGAATTATTAATATCTAAACTCGATCCAACGCTGTTGTTGACTTTCCATCAGCCACTATTCAGCATTCACGCACAGTTTTTACTACACAAATGACATTTAATGGCCAATGGCAACCAAATTGGTCGAGTTAAAAGTGATTGTACACAGAGACAGTAGTGGCGGCCAGTACAACACAGGGACAGTAGTGGCGGCCAGTACGACTTTCAAATACTAAACGCCACTATTTAACGTGCTGTTGGCCTCGTGTATAGACGCTACGGGCAGTGGAAACGCTCACTGACATTTTAACCGTTGCTGGTAATCCTAAAAGTTGTGCTGGCCGCCACTATTGTCCCCGTGTTGTACTGGCCGCCACTATTGTCCCCGTGTTGTACTGGCCGCCACTATATACTGTCCCAGTGTGAAAGCACTTCTAAAGTTGTAGGTAAGCTATTGGATCTGAGGCTTTTGCTTTGGTTAGGTTAGGTTATTCATATGATTATGAATAATATATGCGGAAAGAGCAAAATAATTGAACGAATAAGTAAATAAAGATATATTTACAGCCTTACGTCGTAAGTTATTATGACTGTTTTGTTCGGGAATAAGTTGGCTTCCATTGTGAATCCCGGCGCCACATTGAACGGCCAGCCCTCTTGAGGCTCCGCTCAATAGAAGACAACTTAGTGGTAATATTGGCCTTGTGTGTGTCATCCTGAACAGGGTATCAGTGCAACGGGCAGAAAGTGGGTCAGTATTAGGACACTAATATGTCATATCATTACTAAGTATCAAAACACAATAATATCCCTAATACTTGACCCATTCATATTTCTGAGATTCATTTCCTGGGTACATATGAGATGAATACTAATTCAATCAAATATTACGGAGAAATAAGTCGCTTTATATGAAAAAAATTTTACGCTCACATGTTGACCTAAATCGCCTCGTGTTCATTCAAAATGAATCTTCCACAAATTACATAGTTCGAATCGGAGCAAAATTGTTCGGACCAGAACTACATAGTCCGAATCAGAGCAACATAGTCCGAACCAAAACTACATAGCCCGAATTAGAACAACATAGTTCGAACCAAAACTACATAGCCCGAATAGAACAACATAGTTCGAACTAAAACTACATAGTCCGAATCAGAGCAACATTGCCGAAACAATGCTACAGAGTCTGAATCAGAGCAACATAGTGCAAAACAAAGCTACATAGTACCCAATTTCCCGTATTCGTTGGTAGTAGATTGAGTAGAACTATCATCATTTGTGTTACCTTGCTTAGTAGTCGCCACAGCCTGGGCAGTGGTACCGAACTTCTCTCCGGTGGGGAGACCGAAGGAAACGATGACGTCTGTGCTGCTGCACTCTGGGATGTTCTCTATCGTCGTCTGGGACGAAGTGGTTTCGACGTACTTCTCCTGGCCGGAGAAGCTGACGATGAAGCCGGGGTAGTTGCAGCCACCATCTTCTGCGGTCCACGTCACGTCGAAATTGTTATTCGTACTCGCCGTTCGGGTCGCAGCCACCGTCAACACTTTGAAATTTCCTGTTGAAGATTGGAAGAAACGCGTTAATTGAAAAGAGTCCCTTCATACCTTCTCTTAATTGACTAGAAAAAAATAGGATTTATAAATTGTTATCCAGTATTTGAAATTTAGGTTAGAGTGGTTGCAGCAATGAACCGCACCCACGTCACTGGACTGGACCAATGGTGGGCAAGGTAAAAAGACAACGTGCCAGCGAGGCTTGCGACTGCAATATTCAGAACCCCTCTCGCACAGGAACATGAATTCATCCCACCCACCGTAACTGGCCTGAATCACAGGTGGATTTCACTATTCCATCGCACCCACCGAAATTTGGTTTGACCAGAGGTGGGTTGGCCTGGTAGATGGCTACGTAGTTTGCCGCTGCTGCCTTCTGGTCGGCACATGCATGACTCGGAAAAGTTGCGTTGTATGTGGTGCAGGTGGTACCATTGAAGTACAGGGTGGAGTGTCCTGCAAACGTTGCAGCGGTTAGTAAAGATGTTGTTCCATAGAAGCATTGTTTAATTATTATTGCATCCAATAATACTTGGTAAATGGCAACTTCTGCAGCGGTAACCAACGGCAGCAGCCAACTCACCGGCCACGGCGGCAGCGTTGACGCAGTCCCTGAAGGTGGGCGCGCTCGGCTGGGAGCTTATGAAGCATTTCAGTAACTCCGGGTGAGTATATGTGCGGTTATACACGATCCCATTCTTAGACATGATGGATCGGAACACGACCGAACTTTTGGTTTTCTTGCAAGATGTCATGGGGCTTTTGGGGGTCACAAGCACCTGTAATCATTAAAATGACGAATATGTATCAGAATATAAGATGTTGGTGACAAGACACAGTTGAAATGGTTACTTGCCAAAAAACTTGTGGTGGCGCAGCAAAGCCTATGATTCAAGTATGGGAATGATAGCTTAAATGTTCATAAAATCCCAACGCGAACATAAGTTCACAAATCTCAGTTTAATTAGACGCGTGTGATGGTTGTTTCAACTCACATCAACAGCAGGGCCTGTAGGCAGGTTCGCCTGTTGGCAGGAAAAGGGTAATACCAGCATTAGCTATCACAGATCAATAAGTAACTCATGATTTGTGTACCTGACATTTCACAAGCAGTTTGTTGCATGAAGGTTAGTTTTGTACCCTAGCAGTATAAAAACGTGTTATGTTAACCAAACAAGGATCTAATAAAATTATTACTCATAATTTTACAATAGTTAATTATAATGACCTGGGCTTCATGGAGCACCGTGGTCAAAATTCCGGCGAGAATCAGGGGAAAGAGTTTGGCCATCTTGACCTTCCCGACCTGGGGAGACACAAGACTATGATTATTGTTTAAGATATTAGTAGGATTATAATTAATGATACTTGAAATTATTAGTAGTATTGAAAGAGAGCTTATCAGCACAGTTTGAGAGAATTTTCGATTCTAAGAGTTATAACTGAGCTTTTCAGAGGCTCTCAGGGGAATACTTCAACTGGACGCTTTAACTCTTCGTCACCATCTTTGAATTCTATGAACGTTTTAAATTAGTTCTATAGATAATAAGACTTTTTATTTGTAAAGAAAAAATAAGCAAAGCCATTTTAATACTTCATTAATTAATTTTTATAACGTTAAATACATTTAATTATATGAACTGAATTTGTGAATAACACAAATTCACAATAACAAATATGAATTTTGAATATGAATTTTGAAATTTTATGAATATGAATTTTTCACAATAACAAATTCACAATAACAAATATGAATATGAAAAAAATATTTAACACAATAACAAATATGAATTTGTTTTAAGAGGGTTACGAAGGGTAATTATTATTATTGGTATTATTATTAATATTATTATTATTATTATTATTATTATTATTATTATTATTATTATCATTATTATTAATATTACTATTGTTACTATTACTAATATTTTGTCAATCCTATTATCATTCTTTACAAAACTAAAATCCGAATATTTTAATCATTATGCGACTTATTGTTTTCGCGAATTCGAAATCAAAATACCGCATGCAATTTCAATTTCTTTTAATAAATTCGTGCGTATGAAACCAACTAAGATATCTCGTACGAAATGAACTCACATGAACTTTTACTGATATATTCATGATTTTTTTATTGTTAATTAACAGATATAAAAGACTAATTTGAGTTATTGGCAAAAAATGTACGATACGTAGTTACATATTGAAGCTACTTGAATTATTTTCAATAATATTCGTGTACAAGTGGTAAACGCTATGAAACAAGTGGTAAACTCTATGAAACAAGTTGTAAACGCTATGAAACAAGTTGTAAACGTTATGAAACAAGTTGTAAACGTTATGAAACAAGTTGTAAACGTTATGAAACAAGTTGTAAACGTTATGAAACAAGTTGTAAACGTTATGAAACAAGTTGTAAACGTTATGAAACAAGATGTAAACGTTATGAAACAAGATGTAAACGCTATGAAATAAGTGGTAAACGCTATGAAACCAGTGGTAAACGCTTTGAAACAAGTGGTATACCTTGTCTTTGTTTACGCTCGTTATAACAAATAGAAAATATGTATTTAAAAAACACGTGTATATCCTGAGTACATCACCGAATAAAATGAACGTTCTATTCACATATATTGCACTAAAATAAGCTGGCCACAAGTGTTCAGTAGCTATAGTTACCCCCCATTACCCCTCACCCCTCTCCTCTTTGGGGGTGATCCTTTTTCAATCTTACATGATTTATACACCAAATAT